CTCCGGTGTTGGTTCTATGATTGCAGGTCGTCGTCGGTGTTTCCACAACCACCACCTCCGATCACCAACGATATACCGCCATTTAACAACAACCTGGTCTTCCTTGTCCATCGTAGTCGTGATCTACCACCATTTTTACCTTCTCTGGCGGCTTCACCTTCACCAGAGAAGAACATGAACATTGTTCATTTTGATGCATCTCGTTCCAGAACCCTAGGGAGAACATCAAACTTATGATTTCTTCAACGAGGCTCTCAGATCTGAAGTGTTTCAGTCGAGATCTATGATCTCTGATGATAGATTTACACTCTCTGGTGACAGGTCTACGATGTCCGTCTCTAGATGTATGATTTATATCTCCATATCAACGATCTCTGACGGGATTAAGGGACCACATCAGAGATCGCCATCAACCACCACCACCGCTGCTACCTCGCTACTCTGGTGAACCACCTCTAACTCACATCCATCTCTTTCAGGTATGTCATTTTTTATTTTACTTGTTTTTACTTCTGTTAAGTTGTGAATATAATGTTTTAATCTCTTTTTTTTTACTATTGTTAATCTTAGTTTTACCTGCTAATAAGTTATGAATCCAAGCAGTGGCAGAGCTAGAATTTGGTAATGACGGGGGCTTGCATCAGTGTAAGACTTTAATTTTATTTTCCAAATAATGTATTAAATTGAGACAAATATAGAAAACAATCATTTGATTATAAGTGATTAAAAACATAAACAATTATTTGTATTCAACCAAGTGATATTTCTGTGTTTTGAAGTTAAATCTAAAAAAAAAATAAGGTATCAACTATTTAGTTTACATGATTGCATTAAAACAATATATATCATTGGTAGTTAACAAAAAATAGTTTATAGATTTTAGTTATAATCAAATTTTAAATAAAAATTGATCTCTTTTATTTTCAACCATAATCTGAAATCAAAACGAATTTCAATAACCACAATTATCACACGAACATCTAAATTTGAGTCATTCTTAATTTCAATAGTAATTTACCTTTAATTTCATATGTATATTTTAAAATAATAAAAATATAATATTTACAAACATCAACACATATCTTTGAAAATAATAGAATATAACAATAATTTTAACAAATATAAAAAGTAGATGAATAAATAACTTGATTTTAGTTATCTATTTATTTGTGTAATTGACGTAACTAGTTTTTTCTGTGATAAGTAAATTTAATTTTTTTTTTAAAAAGTTTGGGCTATATGGGTAGGGTGGCTAAGGTGGCTAAGGTGATAAAATTTATATTATGGCTAAAGACTAAAGAGTCATGAGAAAAGTTGACAGAGGGTGCACACATGCATGCCCCTGTATTGTCTCCGCTCTTGAATCCAAGTTTATTATCTTATTTGTTAAGGTGTGAATTTAATGTTTTAAACTGATTATGTTTTGTTGTTGTTATGATGTGAATTGAATTTATAATATGTGTTATTATGTTAATGTTTTTTCAAATACTACGAGTTCAACTCTTTTTAAGTTGTAAATTGTGTTGTTTTAATGTTGCAATTATTGTTTAGTTATGTTAATGTTATTTTTAACTCTTATTAATAAGAAAATATAATCTTTTAAGCCGTGAATTCATGAGTTTTTAAAGTATTAAGCTGTGAATTAGTGTACAAACTAGTCTATTAAGCTGAGAATAGGGTTGTAAATGTATAATTTTTATTTATTAAACTGTAAATTTATTATATTAAGATGTGAATTTATGTATTAAACAATAAATTGGTTGTATTCAGCTGTGAATCGATTGTATTAAACTGTGAATCAACTGTATTACATTGTGATTTTTTTAGGTCTTTGTAAGCTATGAATTAACTGTATTAAGCTGTGAATTAATTGTATTAAGAATTAACTGTATTAAGTTGTGATTTTTTAGGTTTTTACAAGGAGTGAATTGTGATGTTTAAAAGTTTCAGTTATTGTTAACTTTAACTGTTATTAATAAGAAAATATAAGTTTTAGTTTGTGAATTCATAAATTTTTTATAAGTTTTAAGCTGAAAATTAGTGTTTGAAGTAGTACATTAAGTTGAGAATAGGACTCTGAATGTATAATTTTTATGTATTAAACTGTGAATTAACTGTATTAAATTGTGAATTGACTGTAACTAACTGTAATTTTTTTAATGAATTTTGTATTTGCTAATGAAATATGAGATGAAAGAAAACATTATACACATATATGATTTTCTTTAACTTGGAATAAAGTATGTAAACTTTAAATTGTTAATATTATGCAAATTAAACTTCAAGAGAAAAATTAGCCTCCAGATCTAAATGTGTATATGTAAGTTTTAAGTTGAGAATATGGTTGTGAATGTATAATTTTTATGTATTAAATTGTGAATTTTGTGTATTAAATTGTAAATTGACTGTATTAAGCTGTAAATTGACTTTAATAGGCTACAATTTTTTTGTGAATTTTGTGTTCAAATTTGAATTATTTATGTATGGTGGTTTGTATTCATTTTTTTTGTGAATATATATATTTTTTTGTGTTATATAAATATGTAAAATTGTATTAACTTTCGTAATTATTTTGCATTAAACTTTGAATAAGTAAATTAATAGTTTTATTAAACTGTGAATATATAATTTAAGATGCCAACGCATGATTTTATCTATACAAATCTGATTTGGAAAAAGGATGGTTGCAACGATGGAAAAAGTGGTTAGTGGCAGCATGTGATAGTTGGTGTTTGTAGAGTTTATGTTTGACTTCTCTCAATATGTGAATTAATGTATAATAGATTTGTATTAAGTTGTGAATTTTATATAAAATTTGTGTTTAAATATAAATTGAATGTGTGAATGAAAATATTAGACTGTAAAAATTATAATTTTACCTTTTTCATACCAAAAAGTAGGGTTTTAACATATTTAATAAGTATCATCTCTAATAAATGAAAGTTTTTTTGCCACTTGTCACACCCTCATTTAATTTGCCAAATGTTATTTTGTGGTTATTTTGAATTTTTTTTTTCACATCTCATTTTATGGTTTTTCTATTTTATTAATTTTCACATAATATTTAAATGCAATAATAAATGCATATTAATTTCCTTAATGAACTTTCCTTTTAATTTCAAAATTACTAAGTTAAAGCTTCATTAATTTCCTTTATTTGTTTATCTAAATTATTTGTTTAAATTTAGAGAAAAAAACACTTTAATTTTTATAATTCAATATTTTTCTCATTTTTCTTATAAATTCAAACTTCTCAAACGTTTAGAAATTTATATTTAGTTTTTTTCTTTTAAATAAACTCATGTAATACATGGGTCTCATACCTAGTTTACAATACATATTTGTGAAATGAGGGTTCTTAGGGTTCATATATATATATAGGTAAAAGATCAAATGAGAACCAATAAATGTTAAGAACCCTAAGAACCACTCATTTTAACTTATAATTATGTTTTTTTTAATTTTTCTTAAGTTTTTTGTAATTAAAAAAACACAATAAGGAGATAATGGTCTTTGTGTAAAACCCATTCCACTACTTTTGAGTTTGATTATATAACATTCTTTCATAATAGCCAAGAATATAAAAAAGCTCTCTCATTTCTTCTGATGAACACCACCACAACCACCACCGTCGACGGCGACCTCACCACCACCGTCAACAACGAGCTCACCACTGTCATCACCGTCGACGACAGATTTCAGATCTGGAACAATCGTTACCTCTTCTCCGTTGCATCTCCGGTGTTCCGTCGACATCTCCTTCCACCGGTGAACTATCGTCTTCAGATGTACAAGATATAGTCGATTACATATCTGTGATTTCCGGCTCAGATCTACCATATTCACCTCTAGATCTACAATTTTCTACTACAGATCTGAAGTGTTCGGGTCTAGATCTACAATCTTTGATGATTGCCTCTCCTCTATAGCTACTCTGGTGAACTGATGTCACTGACGACACCAAACAACCACCATATACGTAACCATTGTTGCCAACTGTTGTTATACCTGTTAGAACAAAGTTCTAGTAGGATCGATTGATTCTTAGCAGAAAAGCAATAAACAATGTAATGAAGAACACAAGAATGGTTTAACTGATGTCGAATGATTAAACTTTAACACCTCAGAAGAGCTCGATTAAGAACTTCGACTGTAGAGGTGTTTAGGGTTACAAAGCAATAATAATAATAATCACGACCGTATCTAAGGCATACATGCATGCACTATTTATAGCTTAACCCTAATCAATAATCACGGATGGACATGCCCAATCTGGATATACAAAATACAGCCCATGACGCAACACTAAACACCCAACAATCTCCCCCTTTGCGTCCATGGAGCCGAGAGCTCAGTTCGGTTGAGCGATAGAAGACTTCTTAACTGTCTTGAACACCTTCGGTATAATGGCCAGTAGATTATGACGAAAAGTAATATACCACCGAAGCATGTCAGTGAAGTTCTTCTTATCTGACTCAGAGTTCTGCTTGCACCGATGTATAATGCTAATTATGTGCTCCAAGCAGTCGGTTGAGAACAGATGCTTATCGACAAGAGCAAAAAGAAATCTGTTAGCTTCGCCTTTTGTGAACATCACTGTGAGATGTGTAGAATCAATTCGACCCATTTGCATCGTGTTTACATCTCCAGGCTTTCCGTTGGCTTTGCAGTTGGTTTCTTCTTCAAAACTTTAGCAATCTCCTGATCCATTTTAGCAACTTCATGGACATAGGAAGCCAACATCCTCTTCAGATGATACAGGATTGGCTCATACTCCTTCGCATTAGTGAGCAAAATGTTGAACAACAGGATCCAATCATGAGGATTCAAGTTAGGAAGATCTGCCAGGGAAATCACAGAAACCGAGTTGTCTGAACCTCGGGTGAATTTGAAACTAACGTTGACAAACTTCCCTGCAGACGAAGGTTTCAGCACCTTGACTGTGGTGATCTTCTGTGCACTCCAAGTCAGATACTGAGGTTGAATTTCCTACAAAAATAAAAACAGAAAATATTTTTGGATTTTTGAAGTTTCTGAAAAAGAAAAAAAATAAAAACAGAAAATATTTTTGGATTTTTGAAGTTTCTGAAAAAATAATAAAAACCAAAAATAGAAATAAAACAAAGTAATTTTTTTTAAAACCTTTAGGAATAAAATATAGCAAGAAAAAGAGTTAAAAGAAAGTTTACAAAATATATAACCGAAATCAAACCATAAAATACTGAAGCGAAATAAACCGAGCGTTCGGTTCATTTCGGTTCCTTAAAATTCCGGAGCCGAAATAGACCGAGCGTTCGGTTCATTTTGGTTCCCGAAAATTATGGAGCCGAAATAGACCGAGCGTTCGGTTCATTTCGGTTCCCGATAAATCCGGAACCGAAATAGACTGAGCGTTCGCTCTATTTCGCTTGTCTAATTTTTAGAGAGAGGTTTGAGGGTTCGGTACCGACTCTCCTTCCATCATTCCTAAACCTTGTAGAATTTTACTGAAGCTTGCTTCTGGTAAGGCTTTAGTGAAGATGTCTGCCAGTTGATCAGAGGACCGAACGAAATGTACTTCCACGTTTCCATCTTCAACATGGTCCTTGATGAAATGGTATCTTAGTGCAATATGCTTTGTCTTTGAGTGTTGCACAGGATTGTGACATATTCTTATCGCGCTTTCAGAGTCACAATAGAGGGGTATTTTCTTCATACTCAGTCCGTAGTCTCTTAGTTGGCTTTGTATCCATATCACTTGTGAGGTACAGGATGCTGCAACAATGTACTCAACTTCGGCTGTTGAAAGAGATACACAGGTTTGCTTCTTGGACTGCCACCTAACTAGTTTACCATCAAGGAATTGGCATCCTCTAGTTGTGCTCTTCCGGTCCAGACCGCATCCTCCAAGATCGGCGTCAGAAAAAGCTTGAACAAAGAATCAGGATCTAGTAGGGTACCAAATACTGAGAGAAGAGGTTCGCTTCAGATAACAGAAAATGTTTTTCACTGCCACCATGTGAGGTTCTCTTGGATTCGCTTGAAACCTGGCACAATAACAAACAGAGAACATAATGTCTGGTCTACTAGCCGTTAGATACATAAGAGACCCTATCATTTATCGATAGAGTGTTACATCAACAGCAGGTTTTTGCAGAGAAGGTGTTAACTTTGTGCCAAACGCCATGGGAACCTTCACCTTTGAATCTCCCGTCATACCGAACTTCGTCAGCAAGTTCTTGGTATAGGCCTCCTGGTTGATAAAAATGCCTTCTGATCCCTATCTTATATTCAATCCAAGGAAAAAGTTAATTGGACCCATTGCGCTCATTTCAAATTTAGTCTCCATCAACTTCCTGAATTCAGCCGTTAAGCTAGGATTCGTGGAGCCGAAGATGATGTCATCGACATAAATCTGAACTATCATTAGATGTTCGCCTTCTTTCTTTCGGAAGAAGGTTGGGTCAACCGAACCTTGCTTAAATTTCGACATTTTAAGAAAGCGAGTTAATGTTTCATACCAGGCCCTCGGTGCTTGCTTCAGACCATATACAGCTTTGTCCAACACATAACAGTGATCAGGGTATTTCTCGTTTACGAACCCAGGTGGTTGCTCAACATACACCGTTTCTTCTAGTTCTCTATTTAAGAAAGCACACTTCACATCCATTTGCAAAACCTCGAAGTTTTTATGTGCAGCATATGCCAGAAAGATTCTTACTGATTCCAACCTTGCTACAGGAGCGAAGGTCTCCTCATAGTCTATCCCTTCTTCTTGGCAATATCCCTTCACCACCAACCTAGACTTATTGCGAACTACGTTGCCCTCTTTATCCAATTTATTCCTGAAGACCCATTTTAAGCCAACTACAAAAGCGTCCTTTGGAGTGGGAATCAGCCTCCAAACTCGATTACGTTCAAACTCATGAAGTTCATCCTGCATAGCTTGTACCCAATCAACATGATCAAGTGTAGTATTAACCGTCTTCGGTTCGATTTTGGAGACAAACGAATTAAACATGCAGAATTCAACTTGAGAGAATAAAGCAGTTTGTTTCGCTTTCAATTGAGAACGTGTTAGAACTTGTTCAGATGATTCACCAATGATTTGTGTTTTGGGATGATCCTTAGTCCATTTCATTAGAGGAGGGTAATTAGGGTCATATGCAGGATCCAATTCTGCATTTACCTCTTCTTCAAGTTCCGATTGATCTCCTTCGTCATTTGTATTCTCACTCTCCCCCTCAAATGGCGAACCGAATCCCATGTCAGGTTCAGAATTCTCCCCCTCGGTTGGAGTTGGATTCTCCCCCTCAATTGGAATATTAAGAGTTGTTTTTGGTACAAATGAGCCCTCCCCCTTGAACGTTGAGCTATTGTTTGGTGAGTCAGTTGAGGGTTGACCACCAGTCGGTTGTTTAGGAGGTTAATTTCCATCTCTTTTGCAGCTTCATCGATGATCTTTTGCAGATTGTCAATTTTGTTGTATGTTGCTTTCGCCTCAGAGTGGATAGCCTTTTCTGGTTCATCAAATAACCTTATGTATTCTTCAAACAAGTTAGAAATGGGAACCGAGACTTGTCCTGATGCTGGAAAAATTTCCCCCAAAGTACTTTCGCTTGTTTGAGCTTTCTTCATGTAATTGTCATCAAAGGTCACATAGTAGGTTTCTTCAATACGCTTGGAATGTTTATTCAAAACCCTATATGCCTTTGATGTGAGTGAATAACCAAGAAATATTCCCTCATCGACTTTGATGTCGAACTTGTTTCGGTTCTCTTTTGAGTTGAAAATGAAGCATCTTGAATCGAATACGTGGAAAAACTTAACATTGGGCTTCCTATTGTTCAGTATCTCGTACGGAGTGATGGAGAATCGTTTGTTAAGTAAGGATCTGTTCTGAGTATAGCACGCGGTTGCAACTGCATCGGCCCAGAAGTATAAGGGAAGAAAAGCGAAACTTAACATGGTTCGGGCTGCTTCACACTAGGAACGGTTTCATCTTTCGACAATTCCATTCTGTTGTGGTGTGTAGGGGGCCGGGAAGTTGTGAGATATCCCCTTTTCTGCCAGAAAGTCTTCAAAATCTTTATTCTTGAATTCAAGCCCATTATCACTTCTAATGTTCCTCACCAGCTTTCACAGCTGCACTTCCACTTGCTTAATAAACACCTTCAACTTGGGAGTTGCTTCTGATTTCTGTTTAAGAAAAGAAAACCCAGGTGAAGCGTGAAAAATCATCTACTATGACAAGAATGAACTTACTACCACCGAGGCTTTCGATAGCCGAAGGTCCACATAAGTCAATATGCAGAAGTTCAAGAGCTTCAACAATCTTTGTGTTGATACGTGTAGGATGGCTCTTTCTGGTTTGTTTGCCCAGCTCACATGCTTCACACAGGTGTTCCTTATCAAACTTTAGAAGAGGAATGCCTCGAACATGATCACCAAGCACCAACTTATTAATGTCTTTGAAGTTCAGGTGTGATAGACGTCGATGTCATAACCAGCTTTCATCAGAGTTCGCTTTTGACAACAGGCATATTACTGGTTTTCCTCGTATTGGGTTGATATTCAGTTGATACATCTCTCCCTTGCGTTCAGACTTCAACAGAACTCTTTTGGATTGCTTTTCAATTATTTCAGTTCCCTTATCATCGAAAGAAACTTTCAAACTGGTTCCTACAACCAGTTGAGATACACTGATTAGGTTGTGCTGCAATCCTTCCACGTAAGCCACTTTTCTAATCGAGAATTCTCCGTTGGTTATCATTCCGTATCCTTTGATTGTGCCATAAGAATTGTTTCCAAACTTCACACACCCACCATCCTTAAGGGACCGAAACTCCCTTAGCTTCTTCCCTCCTTCTTGTCATGTGACGTGAGCAGCCACTGTCTATGTACCATTCGTCATCGAACTGCTCGTCACTTATAACCTACAAATTTAAGCAGATTTAGGAACCCAAA